TTTTGTTTCAGAAACTCAGCATCCACACTTCTGTTTTATTTAAGAGCCCATGGTGTTAGAGATGGTCGATTAGCATGGACAGAGGATTGGCTAACTAATAGAAAAAAGGCTATTTATTCGGGATAAGGGGGACATTGTCACGAAGACAAGCTGTAACTAGTGGAATTTCACAAAAAATCAGTGCTGGGGTGACAATTATTCATCCTATATAAAAATAAATATGTACTGTATATACGTATGGCTTGGATAAGGAAAGTGAATATACTATAGTCAAGTTTGTGGATGACACAAAAACAGGTAAAAAGAGTAAGTGGGGAATGAAACAAATAATCTGCAGTGGGATATAGACAGGGGAAGCGAGCGAGCAAAAATCTGGCAGATAGAGTAGAATTTGGGAAAATGTGAGGTCATGCACTTTGGCAGAAAGAAGAGCTGATTATTATTTAATTTGAGAAAGCTCCAGCACAGAGGTGTGCTCGTGCATAAAACATACACAGCTAACATACAAGTTCAGCAGGTAATAGAGAAGGCAAATAGAGTGTTGACTTTATTTGAAAGAGAATGGAATATAAAAATAGGGAAATCTTGCTATGTAGATAGACAGACCACACCTGGCATACTATGAACCATTTTGATTGCCTATCTGAGGAAAGATATACTAGATTGAGAGGCATTCCAGAGAAGATCTTCTTAGTTGATCCCAGGTACAGAGGGATTATCTTATGAGGAAAGGTTGAGTAAGTTGGGCCTCATTGAAGAATGAAAGGAGACTTGATTGAAAGATTCTGAGGGGACTTGATAAAGTTGATACAGAAAGGTTACATACCTTATTGCAAGAATCCAGGACCAGAGAATCAAGGACCAGAGAGAAAGATCTGTGATTACCCAGTTAGGACAAAGCTGAGGTTTTTTTCCCTTTCTCAGAGGGTAGCAATTCTGTAGAATTCTTTTCCACAGAGAATTGTAAGAGTTAGGTTGTTATGTATACTCAGGGCTGAGGTATACAGATTTTTAATCAGTAAGAGAATCAAGGGTTGTGGGGAAAGGGCAAGAAAGTGGAGGATCTGTTCAGCCATGATCTTATTGAATGGTGGAGTAAAATTGATGGGCCGAATGGCCGAATTGTGCTCTCCCATGTCTCATGGCTTTAAAAGTAAGCAACACAAATGTTGAAATCATGTGAAACTATCAAATGAAGAAATCATATGCAATATCAAAAACGAATTTACAGCCTGAGATCTTTCTGAAGATACAATGCATTTCTGCCACAATACTATTTAAGCAGACATGAAAATTTCGAGAAAGCAAACTCCTATTTCACGTTTATCATTCTAAAGACTTCATCAAGTAGATTTCTAGCAAACTGTCCTCAAGCACATTTCCCTCTCAAGTTAAATTTTATCCTTGGTGTTAAATATTGATGGACAATACAGTACTACATACCGACCACGTAAGTAAAGCACAAATGGACTTCCGACCAGTTAGTTCAAAAGAAACACATCAGATTTCAACCACATTATTGAATTGAATTGAATTGGGCAGTACAACACACATTTTGTACCCAATTCTGTTTTTTAGTATGGAGTATATAAATCCAATTTATTCAGCATTGAGATTTCTGGTAGCAATTGGCATTGTTGACACTGCATGTTCTTGCAAAGCAACAAAAGGATATGGCATTACAGATTGCAACAGAACAAAAAACCAGGCATGATTCCAGAAAATTATTTCAAGAGAATGGCTTGATTGCTTCAAATCGTTTTCAAAGTCTTGTGTTTGTTATTGGTCAAGGCTACTTATGTGTCCTATTGCTCTGATGGTTGTATCTTGATATTTACTGAACAGATATTCCTTGCAAAAATAATACTAAAAGAATGGCCACCTATAATTCCATCTAATGTAACCCCAACAATTTGTCATTTCCAAGTATTCTAATCTCCTATTTTGATCAGTTTAAGTTGCAACATTCAAAGACTGAAATTCCACAGAACAGCCTGATGTCTGATGGGCATTACAGTAACTTAGGCAAAAAATTCTGCTGTCTACAGCAAATGGAGGAATTTGACAATTCTGTTGTGGGCTGTAAATCCACACCAACATAGGCCTGTATAACAGTGACCTTAATGTAAACTAACTTTTTAACCAAAAATTTATATCCTTATTTTTAGAAACAGGATTTAACCTTGAAAATTTCTGTGATGGCTCAGCAAAATTATACAGTGGGTGAACAATACAATCCAAAGGGCCCAGGCAGTTCCGTTAGCTGTTCTAAGCTATGGGGATGGTAGAGCTGGTGCAGTCAGTCTTAATAGAGGGAAAATTCACCTCCACTAAAAAACCATCAAAATGAGGTCAAAAGCCAGCTTTGTCTACCATGGTAGGTAGCACCTGAAGAACATGCCCACATTCACAGGTAAAGTTCAAATGACCAATTGTCATTTAAGTGTGACATATTGGAGAATATGAGAGTCAGTAGAACCATAACCTTGCCAGCATTTAATATCATTGGTTATGGGAAAGAATGGTGAAACTTAATGAGGAAATAATAGCAAACCTCTTGGCTTGGCTGAGATACAGTCAATTAAAGGGAAGTAAATATTTGCACATGTATTCATCCAACCAACAAATTGTAGTTCTAAGTAACTGTACATCAATACGAAATATTACTGCAGTAAATTAAAAATTCCATAAAACTGAAGTCTGCATAATTTGAAGGCTTCTTCAAAGATTAACTAAAGTGGTTAAATAATTCATTCCCAATGCAAACATTTAATTATGGATAAAGAAAGCAATCAAGTGAAAAGCATGATATAAAGAAATATCTAAAAAAAATGCTGTTAATTAGGATGCGTTATATACAGCAAGTGAGCCCCATTCCAAGGAGCAGATACTTCTCATCTCCAGGGTTAATAAAACAACAATAACTTTGTTAATCAAACACTTAATCTTCTCACAGGGATGTCGCTATACAATATCATTTTTCTTACATGGTGAATTGTTTAAATATTTACCAGTCTATAATTCTGCCAAAACTGAAAACCTTCACTGAAATGACGCTATGTACTATGTACAAGTGGTTGTGTAAATATAATGTTCCTTAATCTTTTCTTGTCTGTGAAGGTTTTATTATGGCTTTGATTTTGTGGCTACATTCTTCCCTAGGATTTCACTGCATCCACAGCGACTGTGTTAATATTCATCAGTGATTTACAAATTGCTGGAATGTCCCCAGGTTACCACAAGGTTCACAGAAGCCGATTTTGAATAGAGTCAATATTGAGCATACTGAAACAGACAACAAAAATAATTTTGAATGTTGGACATGTAGATGTTGGAATGCTGGACATAGGATACACAAAAATATAAGTCTTGCATACGCTCACAAAGACAGCATCTGAAGAGAAATTCACATTAGAACAATTGATTTGGAATCACAGCCAAAACACTCAAAATTGAAGTGTACATATCAGTAAGACATAGCTACAGGGGTGACTTCAATTTGACGTGCTCATCAGAAATTGCTTCAGAGCAGTTGTAATCACCCAGGCAACATCCAAAACCTGGAGCTCCTTGGCCTGTTAAGCTCTTCACTGACTCCACTAAACAAGTGGCAAGAGTAGCCACCCTTAGTCAGCACTTTAACATGTGCATGTTGAATTCACATTATTGTGCCAGGACTGCGAAATGTATTGGGAAGACTGCGTATAAAATCACAGTTAGTTGTTTTTTTTCTTAAATATCTTTAATTGTTGGCTTCACCAACTGAACCAGCATTTATTGCCCATCGCAATAAATGAGCTGCCACCTTGAACCATTGCAATCCATTTGCTGCAGGTAGACTCACAATGCTGTTGGGAAGGGAGATCCGGGATTTTGATGCAGGAACAGCGAAGGAACTGCGATATATTTCCAAGTCAGGATGGTGAGTTGCTTGGAGGGGAACTCGCAGGTGGTAGAGTTCCCATATAACTGCAGCCCTTGTCCTACTAGATGGTCGTGGTTGTGTGTTTGGAAGATGCTGTTCAAGGAATTTTGGTGAAGTCTGCATTCTCACCAGGGAAGTCCAACAATGGAATGAATCAGGGTAATTAATTTAACCTTTTCTTAAAAAAAAGGAAAAGGATCCCATTGATGTCAGGAGAATTACTTGAGTCTTGCCCTGCTGCAATTGTTTTCTCTCTCCTTCCCAATCACAGGGACATCCCAACGGCTAAACCCAGCAATTTACCCAGCAACCCAGCAATTTACCTGTTCAGAGTCTCATTTGTAGGCAGCACAGGTTCTTGGCACTACCTATTTGGAATAGAGGGAAGTCCACAAGCTAACATCAAAGCTCACCTGACAAAAATTAGTTGAGTACACAGATCTGGGTCCACATTCTGCATAGAAATCCATCAGTGTAATAAATCTAACATGTTAAAAAGTCATTCAACCCAACCAGTGGGTGTTTACCCTCAACACAAGCAAGTAGCTCCAATACATAAGAATAAACTGCCAGAAAGGGCTTCAATAAAAGCTTCCAAAAGCATGTTCAAAAGAGAACATTTGCAGGTAAATTCCAAACTGATCACGGAAAAGATCTAAAAATGCTTTGTAAAACAGCAATACGGCCAGTTGTGGTAAAGTTCATAAGATTTTTTTAAAAATCAGTTAAAATACATCCAAATCCCATTCTAGTCTTTATTTTTATTGACACAATTCAGGTCAAATTCAGATTTTCAGACTGGACCCATAAATGTTAGGTTAGAAATGGAATAGTGTAATGGGGTACAGTGAAAAAAACAGGAAAACATAGTCAATGTAGACAGGTGAAGGTCCAGCACAACATGATGGATCAAACCACCTCTGCTTGTGTTGTAAATTCTAATATTATCTTCCATCGCTGCTGATAAAGTAACAATGATTGCCAGAGGCTGCATTTAACAACTTCGGTACAATTACAAATCACTTTCAAATGATATACAATCAAACTGAAATAGTCAAAGACTTGGATTTTTTTATTTTATAAAGCAATTACAGTTTTAAAAAAGATGCTGGAAATTGGCATTGAAACTTTAAACAGAGAAATGACAAAGTTTCTGGTCAGTCCAAATACAAATAACAAATCATTGCTGCTTGTTCAGTTAGCATGTGCCAACATTTCTAGATAATCCTTTGTGGTTTTTAATTTGCTAAAGTATTATTGTTGCTGAACAAGGACATTTTGTCTTGTATTCGTCAGAAAAATTTGCACGAACACCAATCTGACGGGAAAACCAATAGTTATACTATAAAAGGGAAAAACGTTCACAAGTGGACTCTGGTAGAGAATGCTTCAATTAATGATGTTCAGCAGTTAATTGCCTGGCTTGTTTAAATTTAAACCACACAGTCTGACTCTGATTGTTTGGGGCATTACCCTGAGAAAGGAAGAAACAAACTGTTGTCACCTAATTTGAAAGGGGCAGAGTATGTCCCCATGTTCTATCTATTTGGAAAGAACGTGGCCCTGTTTTTCAGTACATCTCTTCCAGTATATGCATGTGCACCACACTGCAAAGCCGACTGGCTATCTAAAATTGGTTATCAAAACTTACATCTTCATGTACACAGGATTGTCTGGCAAATATTGTTCAGTTGCAGAAGCACACAATGTTGGACATAATGTTACGGATTTTGCAAGCATGAGGAAGTTAGGTCAGTAAATTGCTCTTTGTGAATAGGCAAAGGGAAATGTTGCTTGATATGATCCTTCCATCCTTGGGATGTATGGTCTGCATACCTAACTTCAAAGTGGTACTGAAAACGATCAATGATTGGTTTATTCTCCATGGACAAACCTACAACAATAAGAGTCCACTTGATAACCAATCAGCACTCTCCCCTCATTTAGTATAAATGTTAGTTTTCTCCTCAGACAGATATTCTTGCAAGTTGTCCTGATGAGAGCAAGACAAAAAGTTTCAACAAAATGTGTCATTTTTCAGCAATACTCGAGTTCTGTAGCACAAAATGACTAAAAGTAATTTTATTTGTAAAACTTGTTGTACATGTACATAATAACCATGTATAGTTTAAAACATTAGCATATAAAAAGTCTCAGAGATATTTCCATGATGGCTTTATTACAGAACAAAGGTATTCTCCTAAGTAAATTTTATATTTAGATCATTAAATAATCTGTAGTAATAGTGATTTTGTCCAATTCAGATTTTTATCCTAGAGTAGGTGCCAGTTGAAAATATTCCAGCATGTCTATGTTACAATTTCACAGAATATTTTGGCAATGTCCATCTATTGTTACACTATTTATATTATCATCCTTGAAATCAATGGTATTTATCACACTTTCTGACTTAGAAATGTTTAATTATTTTTACAATCATTGGCACAATTCTCATCACTGTCTACAGTTTTAACACCTGAATTATAATAACTTTAGTCAAAGGAACCAGCGTCAAATATTTTTAGTCATTCGGAGATAGCAAGAACTTCAGATGCTGGGGTCAGAGTCAATACAGTATGGAGCTGGAGGAATACAACAGGTCAGGCAGCATCAGAGGAGCAGGAAAGTCAACGTTTAGGGTTATGGCAGTCCTGATGAAGGGTGTAAACCTGAAACATTGACTTTCTTGCTCTTCTGATGCTGCCTGACCTGCTGCGTTCATCCAGCTCCACACTGTATTGATTCATATATTTTTATATTGCTTAGGCAGTCAAAGCCCAGGAACTACCAATTATCATGGATGGAGCAGGAAGTTGTACTTTTCCATGGCTTTGCTCCTGACCCTAACGGATATACTGGGGTCAATGCTATATATCCATGGCAGCATGTGCCCATGCCAATTATGGAGCTTATGTGATCTGTTTCTGATGACCAGCAAGGCAGAAGAGAATTAGCTATGTTGCCTTCCTATAACTGACCCTACGATACTCTTGGAGCAATTCAATAGTTATTTTAAAAATGGCTAGTTTTCCATTCAGCCATTCCATCATGCAACTAATGCTACTGGCCTTTTAAATGTTAGTACCTTAGAAACCGCCAAGGATTGCAACAGTGCTGGATACTAAGGATGCACACATGCTTATCAAGTGGTTCAGGAGTGGGAGTTCTGGAATATTCTGGAACATATTTCACAGACTTGCACTTTCATATATATACAATTGACCACATGTGGTTGGTCAAGTAGTGTGTAAAATCTTACTACTGATATACTTTCTACAAGCAATATAAAGGATGTAGTCATGACTATCCCGTCCCCAATTCCATCCAGCTCATATAGACTGCAGCATTTCATAGTTCCAACACGTTCAGAACTGCTGTGTTTAACAATAAAAGGTCTTTCTTTTACACAAGAAAATCTTGTAATTGGCTCTTTAATTTTGATTAATACTACATTGTGTAGCAATATTAATTTTCGTGTGACAGCTACACGCATGAAGAATTTAAAAATCTTTGTTACAACCGACTTGGGGGAGGGGTCATTAAGAGGGAAGCCAATTCACCCTTCCTCACTTGGTGATTAAAAGTGCCCAGCCTGCCTGTACCAGTGAATATCAAAAACATCATTTCTTATTTTTATAGTAAAGCAACTTAACTAACTAATAAAGAGATTAATACAGGATCTCACGACTGACTCCAATTTCCTACATGACTGCGCTTCTAAAATTATTTATTGACCATGAAGGAATCTGAAAAGATACAATAAGCTATTATACCAATACAGAAAATTTATCATTGAATACATACAGACATCGCACCCAGTAAATCATGGTTTTACATACAGGCTACACTAAAAAGCACATTAACACCCCATTCCTATTGTTTCCTGATGGTGGTGTCCAACATCCTAAATTTCCTCCCACTGGTCAGTGCAGAATCTGGGTACAAGTTCGAGCCTGAATATGGAAATGAGAAGTTAAAATTTCTACGGGCTCCAATATGTGGGTTAGGCACTTGCCTCAACCACACACACACTCTTCTCTGTCTAGTCTGGACTAAAAATAAAACTATTACCATATAGTTACCAAATAGATTTCTCTCTATTAGGGTTAAGCAAGTTGACAACAACCTTCTGAAAAGCATCTCACTATGAAGATCTTCAATGTGGCACTGGAGTAGGACAAGTCATTGTTATTATAGGAACTTGACCTCCGTGGGAACTGGATAATTCAATAGTACGTTCTGCTGAAGGGCATTTAGACAGCTTCAAGTTCACTGAGTCTGGGAGTTGTAAACAAGTCTGTTCATCCTCGACTTGAAAAGTACATTTTTCATCACAGTAAAAAGGATAAGAAGATGCATTGGTATTCACAGTCATTTCATGATTCATGGTAGATTTTTGTTCTGTTGTTTCATGGAAATAGAGTTGCTTCAATCTCTGCTGCACTGCATTCAACAATCCTAGACCATGCCCATTCTGATAACAAGGCGAGTACTGGCGGCAAGGTTGCCTGAATCTGCAGTCTTGCTTCTGTCCATAAGAGCAATTAATGCAAAACTCAGTAGATTCTTCAGGAATTGAGCATCTAACATCTTGGTTCAATGACTGATAGATGGGTACAGGATGTTTCTTTTGTAAGCAGCCTTTCACACTTCTCTTTAAAGTCTCCTTTCCACAGCTATCCATCCATTCGTCTCTCGTTTTAGGAACTTTCAGAAGCAACATTTGAGGATGATTACGCCCATCAAATGACTTCTTTAGGACAGACTTCCTAGGCTGCTTCTGATTGTGACTTCTCATACCAGACTCCACAACAGGAAGTAGACTTCCAGTGCATGCTCTTGCCTTCTCGCAAAACATATGATTGAAGTCAGAAATATATTCTTCTTTTATATCACCTTCACTAACTTTGGATTCTTTGTCACAGCATTTGCTGATGGTGCTGTGACAAATAGCTCCATTGGAGATCTTGCCTGTGCAAGACTTAATAGATGCTTTGCTTAAACTGGTTGCTATAGAGGAGGTAGACTTAGTCGATTGAATGTTGCCATCAGGATGCTTTGTTAATTTGTTCATCTTTCCTTCAGGCTTCTCACAAGTTGAAGTTAGAAAAGGAATGTGTTGAACTGGACTTGGGAAAACAACTTTAGATTGCACACGTGGGACAAGGTCTAGACCACCTTCATTCTCACTGCGAGTACTTTCTACATTTCGTGCACAGTTATCGATGCACAACTTGTCAGTGCCAATTCCTTCTGCATGGTTTGCAGCCTGACTTACAGATCTGTGCTCAATTTCCAGGTCCAGGCTAATTCTATTCAGACCAGGCAGGTGACAGATTTGTTCAAGTTCAACCCTTCGAAACAGAAAAATAATTAAACTCTTATTAAGAAACAAAAAGAAGTGCTTTACATCACTATTGTGAAATACTACTGCATTATATTAGAGATAATTTTGGAATTTTCTTGCTCTGTGAAAAATAGTTTGCTTTTTTCTTAAATTATACTTTGAATGCTATTGTCTTTAAGAATCCTTAATTCCATTTTCAGAATTTGTGAATAATCAGTTGTTTTAGATTTTTTTTTCCAGAAGTGAAATTAATATGCTTGAGCCATGATTTTAATGAGACGTGGGCTGGGCAGATGGCCATTAAGACGGACAGCAAACAGGCTCAATTTCAGCAGCACGAATCCTGGGCCTCACATGCATAAGATCATAGAACAGTTACATTCCAAGATCCTGTATGCTGAAAGATGCACAAAAGCTTAGGGTAGGCACTGCAAAGTCTCAATGTGAAAAGAGCACTGTTTAAGACCCTCTCAATACATATTACCAATTAAACTATGTAAAAGTCTTCAAGCTGTATGCTTGACATGAAATGAATATTGGAAATATAATCTGTGCATGTAAATACAGTGAGACACTGCACAGGGTCAGATCTTGCACTGAAAGAATCTGATCTGTTTTGCATTTTCTAACATCAGTGTTGAACAATGTTAGAATGTACTTCCACAAATTTTATGAAAATATATTTTGGGGGAAAAAGTTACAGCACAGGCCATTCAGCTGGTCATCTCTGTACTGCTTCTCTGCAAGAGCAATTCAGTGACTCCCACTCCCTTACCCTTTGCCAATTGTCATGCAAAGTGAAAATCAGACATTATCCATTTAAAATATTAAAGCTGTGTTTTTTTTCCACAAATGCTGCCTGGCTTGCTCAGTATTCCCAGTATCTTACGTTTTTACTTCAGAGTTCCAGTATCTGTAGCATTTTGTTTTTGTTTTGCTTTAAATAGCTCTGTCCTGGCTTTCATTAATAATCCTATTTTTAATGTTTCCTAAGTGTCTGCTAATTTTCTCCCAGATTATCAATTTTAAAAAGTTCCCCTTCAACCAGGTTGAACTAATTCGCTTGTAATTGCCAGGTTTATCCTTATATCCTTTTTCTGAACAGTCCTCTGGGATCACTTGTGCATCTGAGGAAGACTAGAAGGTGACAGATATGCCTCCATAATTTTCAGCTGTTAGTTCCCTCAGCATCCTAAATGCAGATCATCAGACCCTGATTTTGTGCTGTTTCATTCTAGGATATTAGCAAAGAAACAAAGAATATCGGAATGGTAAACAATGTCAGTTTTTCATTTTTCTGCTTTTCTATGTATTTTTGACCCTCCTCTGTAACTTTATTGTTCCATTTTCCTCATCTGCCTCATCATAGGTTTAATATTGTCCAAAATGCTGGTCTGTTTTGTGCATCACGAGGAACAATGTAGCAGGACTGTGAGCACCTCTAACCACACCTTACACACCATCTTTTGTTTTAATAGATTGTACACAGATAGAGAATATCAAGGACAAGCCAACAGTTACAATGCCTGAATTAAGACACGAACTAAAGATATGTGATTGGAATCGCATATTTGGAAGTAAGGACGGTCATTAAGGAATAATGGTTGCCTTCTAATACTAATCTAGTGTTTTCAAGTATTGGCAATGTCCATGAAGCCACTTTTTGACTCTCAACCTTTCAGAATGAGAGTTACATAAGGAGGAAGCAAAGGAGGGTTAATTAAATAGGAGAGTGTTTAAAGCAGTAGTGGCAAGTTTAAATGGTAGTGTTATAATAGGTGTAAATTGCAAGGGAGCATGATGAATGAAGTTTGTCCCAACATCATTTGACCTGTAACATCCAAAAAAGTAATACTAAAATGGAACATCAATTTGTTTTAAAAGGCAGATTTTCAAATCAGTCTGACAAAACAAGGTAAACTGAATTGCCTTTTAAATAATGAACAGCTAAAATACCGAACAACAACAATTATTTAAAACAACTAAATCTGAACAAAGGCTACTGTCTGTGACTGGTTAATCATGCCTTTTACATGAGATCTACTTCAACTTTCTTAGTGGAGCAGCAACGGAATACTTGCGACAGCTAGCATCATTTACATTTTGATCTGATCTGCACAACTTAGGTCAAAACACCACTGTAGTTTGGGTACTTTTCCATGCCTTGTACGAACTCTCTCATTTGAATTTGGCTTCCAATCAGTATTGGCAGTAGGCATGAGAAGCATTATGCAGAATATTACGGTAGGCTTCCTTCACTAAGTAGACCAGTTGGGTTTTAATGGCAGTGCTAAACTTTATTGTCACATTTACTTTTTTAAACAAATGAATTCCAATTCTGAAACTGTATTGATCAAAGGTTACGCATTGCAACAATTTATGTGATTATGCAATGTGGAGTTATGAATTTACAGTCTCGGATTATCAGTCTTACATCTGATTTACAAGTCCAGCTGCATAATCACTGCATTACCCTACTCTGTTCACAAAAACCTCTTGGTCTCCTGGTTACTTACAGAAATGGTTGATTAGATCCACAAAAATAATGCATTTCATTTAGTTGTACAGGTAAAAATGAGCTAAGCAAGCTTGCCTAACAGAATGAAGTCTCTGTCCTAAGTTCCGATAATAAAGCAGAATTTTCTGCACGATACATCTCGACCTTTCACCTTGGTTTAGAAAGTGTGTTGCAAAGAGAAGTAACTGTAGAAGCAAAAGAAATAACATCGGAGACAGAAAGAAAAGTAATAAGCAAACTCTAAGATAGAAAAATGTAAACTAGCTAAAGACAAGAAACAGTAAGAGCTTTAAAATAAACTAACATTATACGTTTTTACTTCATTTCCCAAATAGATTTTTAAGTATTAACATCGTAGCCAATGTTTACTTAGGGCAGAAATCTCACGACTCCGGGTTATAGTCCAACAGGTTTATTTGAAAACACAAGCTTTCGGAGTCTCGCTTCTTCTTTAGGTGTTAGTGAGAAAGATAGTATCAGACACAGAATTTAAGTAAAAGATCAAAGGGTCACACTACTGATGAGGATGTATTAAACAAACCTAAGATGCTGTTAAATCTTTCACTGGTTAGAGTTTTAATTGATTAATATGTATATGTAATTTACAAATTGATTTACATATACATATTAATCAGTTAAAAACTTTCTAACTGGTGAAGATTTAACAGCATCTTACGTTTGTTTAATACATCCTCATCAGTGGTGTGACCCTTTGATCTTTTACTTACAAATTCTGTGTCTGATACTAGCTCTCTCACTGACACCTGAAGGAGGAACGAGGCTCCAAAAGCTTGTGTTTTCAAATAAACCTGTTGGACTATAACCTGGTGTCGTGTGATTTCTGACCTTGTCCACCCCAGTCTAACGCCGGCACCTCCACGTAATGTTTATTTAATTTACTCTGTTCTATTCTGTAGACCAGGATGACGCTTGGGAACCATTCTCTCATTTTGCATCCACAGTTCGAAAGCAGTTCTGTGGTTTTAAAAAAATAGCTGCAAGTATTACTGTATTGTATCTGTACTGTATCAACCAAATTACAATTTGTTTCAGCACCCAAACATTTTGCAGTAAACTGAAAACATATGTGTCATAAAGCATGCCATTTCAAAGTATCCTTAGAACTTTTAAAAAATATTACTATTCTTAGCATAGAAATCCTCCTACATTCAAAGCTTCAGCTGTCATTGCAGTCTGAGCTTCTTTTTCAACCTTAATTCTGCAGTTTATTAAAATGGAATTACATTCTAACAGGAGCTTCAATTCACCTGGTATTTCCAGTTTCTGAAAGATATGCCACTGAAAATCGGTGCTGATTATTACCAGGTTTTCTCACAAAGCCCTTTGACAATTTCACATTCGCAACAGAATCAGAGGAGCTATTTCTACTCTTTGCACTTTTGATCTCATCATCCACTGTGTCCTCATGTTCAACATGGAACTTGTCTGCCATCTTTGTTCCAACCTGGTTTGCAATGGAGGAAAAGACATACAAAGCCTGTAATACTTCACAATTCTGCAAAAGAAGAAATCACAATAAAATCATTAAGAATGAGTAACTTGGCCCAGCAAATATGACAATATTTCCAGGTCAGTTGCATTTGGAGTTTAGATGAATGAGGGTGATCTGATTGAAACATACAATATTCCAATGGATCTTGATAGGATAGAATGAGAGATTGTTTCCTCTGGCAGCCAAATTTCCTGGGAATAGCCAAAGTCGCAACACAACTCAGCAACTGCGATCCTTATTTGTTCTTGTGACTTTGGTGTAAAATCGCAGCTCTTGTAAAGAAAACCACCTTTTCATCATGAGACTAGAAAAATCATAAGACATGTCAACCATCACAAACAGCAACAAGTCTCTTGCCCTATTTTTAAAGTGTTAGAAGATATCTCATCATCTGAACAGTCCATTCACAACAGGATGTGTCATTCTGTGTAATAAATGGAAATTTAAGGCTGTTGATGATAAATAGTGAATGCGCAATCCATGCATTCATGAGAATTTTTTTTTTAATGGAGGTGAGTAAGCAGACATATCCACATAAACAACTCTGCATTACAGGGAGAAAATTAGACATGTATTGCTTGAGAGTAACAATTCCACAAGCATAGGGTAAGGTGAGAAGGCAGGTCTCCATGAATAATCACAACTAACACAGGGATTTTCCATCTAAGTTCGAAAGCAGTTCTGTGGTTGAACAAAAAGGGTGTTTACAATAAAGACCTTTATTCAGTCTAACCAAATAAGTTAGCCCAACCCTCCCTTCATTAGAGGAATGATCAGTAAGTAACATATCATAGAATATGCTAACGATTTTTTTGCTAATATGGGCAAGTTATTTTGGCGCAAGATGAGGCGACATTATAAAACTTTTCACGGTACTCCTGTACTTGAGTACATGTGACAATAAAGGATATTCCATTCTATTCTATTGGTGTTTTTGCAGTTCAATTTTGGGCTCAATTCTCCTGGACAAAGTAACAACTGCTGGAGCATCTCCAGATCTTGCTCTGTTTCTTCAGCAAATTATTCCTCTATTTAGCAAATTAACATGGAGGCTGTGAATGAACAGCTACAGGACGACTGTTTGGAGCTAACAATAACAAACTACTTGCAAGGTATACAGGTCAAAGAGACTAAAAGAGATTTAGTTCACTCTGAGGGAACTGATGTCTTAATGATTCCATGAGGTTCTCTCACTGAACACTGGTAACCAGAATTCTGTCCTAAAGACCAGTGCAGAAATTAGAGCATGCTATATACGTTACATGGTCCAGATTAATGAGGCTTTGACCTTACTCAAGCAGACATTTACTTCACCTTGGCCCATGGGCAAAATGATAAGCTTACAGCAGGAATAAGGCATTAAGTGCAGAGCTCCAATTTTAGGATTACTACCATCTATTTCCACGTATTTATCAAGTTAAAGTCAGAGATTGTCTTTTTGAGGATTTGACAAGAAAAGCTGGCACAAATGAGTCTGTTTCAAGCCATCACCCCAGCTGCACATATTGCAAACTGCCAATTGTACTGAGTTGCAAAGAATAATATATTTTAAAACATGTATTAACTCAATAGTCAGTCTGTGCTGAATCGTCTAATGCTGTAAAGGTTTTCCACCTTCAAATTTGTCAAGAAATGTACAGACACCCAACTTGTTCTTAAATAATCCATTTATGAAACTTAATTGCTCGCCTTGGGTTGTGCTCGTCTAATAGAATAGCAACCAGATAAAGTGAGTGGGGATAAAAACCTTAACTGCATTTTCTTTTTAATAATTAGTAAAAAGGAGTAATTTCAATAAGTAGCCACAACAGTGGAAAATATAACTCTCATTTGATGAATAATGAAACAAGTGTAATTTTCCATTAATATAAAATTACCTTCTGGCATTTGGTTGATAGTGGTCCATAATATTGTTGCAAAGCTGAATAATACCCATCATTATCCACTGAACTGGCACAATTTTTATTTGTGTTTGTTAATTCTTCTACTGCATTTTGCACAAATTTTCTGAAAGATATAAATGAACACAGACTTGACTGCATTTCTGCCACTCAGTTGCAATAACAGGAATTTTAAACTATTAAAATTTGCTTCCATTTGAACACGAATTGAGTCATTACAACATTGTCTTGCAATATGCAAAACTGTACCATGAAATATGTAAAGCTGAGAAGATACAAACCTGTTTATGCTGGATTCCAAGCCACAACCTTTTCTTCCTTTTCTATTTCCTGTGCACTTTTCATCATCTTCCATATTACCACTGTTCCTATTCTTGTAGCCCCTGAAATAAGAACAGCGCAACAAAAAGTGGATATCCAGTTATCACTCGACTTTTGACAACTGTCACGAAAACTAAAATCAATAATACACGATAATGTTCTTTATTCATTTTGTTTGAAAAGATGTATCACTTCATGTATTTCATCTACATGTCCGTTGAGCAATTTTTTTCAATTTTAATGAATCCTGCAGTAAACCAAAAAAACAAAATTTCAATTAAAATGTAAACTTCATGGAAATAAATACTTTAAAAAAGATTAGTGCAATTCATTGTCAAGTAGTGCGCAATTCTTATTTTGCAAAACCATCTGTAGTTTTTATAGAGATAACAAGGTGTAGAGCTGGATAAACACAGC